GCGGGGGTGGCCCCCCCCCCCGTCCGGCCCCCGCCCCAGCCACGGGGCTGGGCCCCTCCTGGCCGCTGCTGCCGGCAGCCGTCCCTGGCGAGGAGCTCCTGCCAGGCAGGTGATGCTGGAGCTGTCGGCGTGATGAAAAGCCTCCTGCAGCAATGCAGATAACATACAAGCACAGGTCAGGCGAGGCCCGTGTAGCCCATCCATCAGGCGCAGCAGCTACAGGCGCTCCCCGTGCCACCATCTGATGCACGTTATCCGGCACAAATGTGTTTCTTCCCCCAAGGTTAAACGGATGAGTGAGGTTCAGGCGCTGACAGCTCTGCCTGCCCTGTGGAAGCGATAAATGAGCTGGAAGAACCGGAGGGAAAAAAAAGGTTTGTTTTCTGTCAAATGCTCCTTTTGATGGTGCTGGCACAAGGATGGTGGCGGCATGGAGACGGGTGCGAGGATGGGGATCTGCTCCTGGCGCGGTTGCGGGGCAGGTGGTGACGGGCACCGTCACAGTGCGTTGGGTGCCGCCGTGTTGCTGGTGGTGACAGACGGGCAAGAGCGAGGGCTCGGCAAGACGCTGGAGCACCAAGCGGCCCTGGTGGCAGGTGCTCGGTGCAGCCCCGGTGTGCCGCTGAGGTGTGCTGGGGCCGGCGGGGACTGGGTGGGACAGCAGCGAGCAAGAATGTGTCCCCCCCCAGATCCCGCTGGCGGCCCCGGGAGCGGTGCCGCGGGCTGGCAGAGCTGGTGCTGCAGCCAGGCAGGGGCCGGTGCTGCCCTCTGCATCTCCAGATCTGTCCCAGCTTGTGATGCCCAGGGCCTGATCCCGCCTGGGACCGCCCACCCGCTTTGGGTGCTGCCCACAGCTGCGGCTGTGCCACGGTGCCCCGGGGCATGTGCTGGGTGGGGGTCCGCCTGCCTGTGCGGTGTCCCCACCAGGCTGCCGCTGCCCTCGCTCAATGTCACACTTGGAGCCTGTCAACGTGAAAAAAGGTTTGCAGCCGATAAGCGATCGGGCTGTCAGCTGTGGAGTGCCGCTCGCCCGTGATTTACTGCAACGTCGCTAACGGAGCACAGATTTTTCTTAATCTAAATTGAAAACTACTCAAGTAGAAAAATAATTTCATTGCTTCATCTTGAAGGGGCGGGGGGAGAGGACAGGGAAGAGCTGTGCCAGGGCAGGCAGGTCTGGGGCTGCCCGTGCCCGCCACGGCTCCGCGCCCCGGCCGGGCAGGGCCGGCCCCGTGCCACCGTTCCCTGGGGCCTTGGGCAGCTCCTACGCTGGGGACAAGCGGCAGCTTCTCTGGCTTGGGCAGTGAAACCCTGTTGCCGTGCCCCATGCCCAAGCCTGGTGGGAGCCACTGGCATGTGCCCAGGGGTGAGGTGGGTGGCAGGAGCTGTGTCCCCACCCGTGGGGCACAGGAAAGGCCTCAGGCCATCCCCATGGGACACGGGACAGTGTCAAATCCCTGCAGCACCCTGGAGTAGCACAGAGGTGGTGCGGAGCCGCGGTGCTGTGCTGTGCCCTGGTGCTTTGCCATGCCGCAGTGCTCACCGTGCTACAGTGCGGCATGGCAGCGCAGGGCAAGGCGTGATGTCTCGGGTGTGCGGGTGCCTCCGATCCCAACGAGGAGGCTTTGATGGTGACGGTCTCCGCTGGTGCTTTGGGTCCAGTGTGCAATCCAGCCAGCAAAGCTGCGCGCCCGGGGACGTGCCGACACGGTGGGTCTGCAGAGGCCCCTAGGGCTCCAGGGCAAGCACCTGAGTCAGCCCTACATTTGGGAAGGGACCGTGCCGTCCGCCCCGGTGGCTGGGTGCATTGTGCAGGGCAGTGTCATGGGGGTGCCGGAGCAGCCACCGTCCTCACCACGTGGCACAGGAGGCCCTGGCAGAGCCAGCACCTGCGCCGGGGCTTTCGGCAGCATTGAAGACTTCGTGCTGTGCTTGGAAAGAAAGCCTTAAAACACTGGGTTTCCCCCCGATCCCCCGGCTCCTTGTTAGAGGCCAATGGTGCTGGCGGGTATTTAGGAGGTGAGCCATGGGCAGGCAAAGCACGTGTGCCCGGTGGTGCCGATACGCCCAGCCCTGATCGATCTGGATTTGCAGCACTGAACACCAGGAGGGGCTGGGAGTGGGAATGGGAAGTGCTGTGCCGGCATGGGGGTCCTGGAGCGTGGCTGTGCCGGCATGGGGGTCCTGGAGTGCGGCTGTGCTGGCTGGCGCGGGACTTGCCCTGTGCAGGAGCAGGATCTGGACATTCTCCACTGGCCAGGAGCTGGGACGGGGCGCGGGGAGGGGGCACCCACCAGGGCTTGGCTCTGGGGTGGCATGGTACAGCCTGGTCCCGGCCCCGCTGGCTGCCCGTGGGGCTGTGCTGCAGGCCCCTGGTGCCGGTGGATGCCGGCGCAGGCAGGGATGTGCTGCCTCGCGGAGAGATCGGTAATTTGGAGCGCGAGTGAATTCTGGGAGCATTTGCTGAGCTGGATAATAACGTGCCCAGTGAGCTGCATCCCAAGCACGCTGCCAAATTAAAGGAATTTTTTTCCCCTTTAATTTAAAAGTCACCGTTGGGAAATCTCTGTCGGCCTCAGCAGTGATTTCCCCCCAGGCTGCCTTTCTGGAGAAATCTTTAATTTTGATTGTCACACTTTGTGGAGTTTAACTTGGGGAAGCAGAGCCATAAATAAGGTGCCACTCCGGCACCGAGGCTCCGGCTGTGCCGGAACAGCGAGCGGCACTGGCACGGGCAGGAAGGAGGGAGCAGCTGGGCCACGGCCACCCCGCCGGGGCTCGTGGGCACCAGCTGCCCTCTCCCCTTGCTCCTCTTCCCCCGCTTTCCCCCCTGCCCACCCTCCCCTCCACTTGCCCCAGCCCCTCGCAGCCTGGCTTCACAGGTCAGCTCCCTTTAATTAGCTGGGTCCCGTCCCCCCGACCTGCCTGCCAAACAAATTGGCAAGTTCATGAAAAATCTCATTAACCTTAATGCCACAGCTGGCTTCTGCCAGCACCCGCACCTCCCGGCCCCGTGGTGCTGGCTGGCTTGGCGAGGGCTCTGCCCCAGCTCTCCGTGCCCTGCGACTCTGGTACCCAGCACCCTGGGACCCTGGCCAGGAGCCACGGCAGGCGTGACACCAAACCCCTTTGGGCTGGGAAGGCGGCACCAGAGAGGGAGGACAAAGCCTGCAAGTTTTTCTCCGTGTTCTGGTCTGTCACCGGGGTGCTCGGCCCCTCGCAGCCCCGGCTTGGCCGGCCGCGGTGCCATGGGGCTGGAGCAGGCGTCGCGGCCAGCCCAGGGCGGGGGGCAGCTCCCAGGGCTGCCCCGGTGCCTCCAGCTTGGTGGAACCGGCATGCGACCCTGGAGAGGGGCCTCTCCTCTCCCTGCTGGGGCCTTGGGAGGGAATTGCCTGGCAGCTCTATTGGCAATTAAAAGAGGGCAGAAATGCAGGCGCCTTCCTTGCGGCGCGGAGCCGGCACAGCGGTGCCGGGGTGAGCTCCAGAAAGGTTACAGCCCATTTGCGTTTTACCCTTCAGTAATGTCAACACTTATGGGTGCAATTAAGAGGCAAGCCTGGTGTTATGAAGCTATCAGTGCGGAGAGACCTGAATACTAACAAACTCCCGTGTGCGTTCCCATCCCGGGCCCTCTGATCTATCCGTGATAACACCGCGGCAATGCCGGTGGGTTTCCACTGGCCGCAGTAATGGGCCTTGACTGCAGTAAATGCATGTTTTTTAACTTGTCTGATAGCCCAGCCCTGCCCAAGCTGTTCAGGTGATGGGTTCGGTGCTCGCTGCGGGCAGGGCACAGACGGCTGCAGAGGGGAGCTGGTGTCAGTGTGGCAGGATGGCGGCTGCAGCAGAACCGGGGTCGGACAGGTGCCGCACTCGTTGCTCCGCGCCCCAGCAAAGCGAAGCGTTTGATCCAACATTGCCCTCTGGAAGAGGAGCCCCAGGCCTGCTTTGGCTTACAAGCAAACCGCCGATGCAGCGGCGCTGGCCGGACTCGGGTGCCCAGCATGGCCCCGGCGGCACATCCCTCCCGCGGGGGGACAGGGGCTCTGCGGCCATTCCCCTTCTCCCGCTTTGGTGGGACGCCGGGCTCAGAGAGCAGCCGTCTTCCCCTTTAAGCTTCATCCCCATTTAATTGGATAGTTTTGAGCCCCGGCTCATGATTTCTGCAGCAATTTGGTCTGAGATTTCTTTCTTTCCCTCCATTATCCACTCTGATTAACTCAGCTGCACCTGTCAGCTTTTATTCGGTGGCGCGGGGAGCGCCTGCAAGAACCTGTTAAAATGCATGAGTTTCATCACAGCCGCTCTTTCCTGGCCAGCGATGCTGAACTGGGAGGGAAGGGGCTGCGGTGGGGAGCAGGGCTGCAGGGGCCCCGAGGCTGGGCTGGGGGTGCCGGCAGGCGCCGTGGGGGTGCCGGCGTTCCCTCCTCCGTGCAGGCAGCGCGGGGGAGCCCGGCTGGGAGCTGGCCCAGGCTGGCGGCAGCGGGGACCCCGCGGGGTGCAGGCAGCTGCAGGCAGGGCCTGCTGCCACCCTCCGCTGCCAGGGTGCTTAGTGGCTGCAGCTTTCGCGCTTTGCAAATGCTCATTTTACAGTCCAGCTATAACTTGTTCCCCTTTTCTCATTTTAATAAAAATGAAAGCATCCGGAAACACTGCTGCACCCAAGAAAGAGCAAGATCTGACATAATTAAAAAGTGGCTGCAATCAGGCTGTTTTCCTAATGGTTTGTCATATCAGCCCACACTGCCCTGCACCCCCCTCCCTGCTCCCAACCCCCTGAGGCATCATTTACATTTCTTAATAACCCCTCATTAATATTCATGACGTGGGGAGGGTAATAACGGCTGAGCGCACACCACTAATTCAATTTCAGCGAGCCTCAGTGTGTTTAGTTAATCACTGGGGGACCTGGGTTACTCAGTACAATTATTTATTCGGAATTAGATCTCGAGGCATCTGGATTGAAACCTGAACTTGGAATAAAATTAAACCGGGACTCTCCTTCTCACCTCCTCTTCCCGCCGCTGCTCCCAGCTGCGGTGCTGAGCATCCCCCCGTGGCCCTGCTGCGCCGAGCCGAGGAACCATTGTTTCCACACCGGCACTCGTGCTGCTGGGACCATCGTGGTGGCTGGGACTTCTCCCCATCGCTGGTGGCTGCCGGGTCCCAGCTCCTCTGCCCCCTTCCCCAGGGCCAGAGCCGCAGCCATGAGGCCGTGGTGCGAGATGGCAGCACCAGGATACCAGCGGCCCGCTGAGCCTGTTTGTGCCGGTGCGGTTAGGGGAAAGGGGTTGGGAAAGGTCCGGTTTGGGCTGTCCCGAGACACCCCGGCGCCCTGGGGGTGCCCCCGAGAAAGCGGGGGAAGGTGCTGTAGGTCCCATCGCCCCCGGCCAGGCAGTCCTGGGGCTGCAGGGACGCGGCCAGCCCTGAGGGCACCGGCGATGCCCCAGCCCCTGCGGAGGGTGGGCGCCTGGGGATGTGGAGCTTCTGCTGGGGTCCTTGCTCTGCTGACTGAGCAAAGTCCCAGGGTTTGCACCATCCTCTCCAGAGCCTCCAGCCCCTTCCCGCAGCTGCGCCGCTTGCTCCGCCACTCCCCGAGAGAGGCTGGGGGGGGCCCCCCCCCGGGCCCACCCCAGAGAGGCTGGTGCTGCC